TATATTCTGGAAAAATGTCACTAAGGTAATTTTCTATTGACTATTTTTCAAATAAAGCAACAATGTCATGTTTAGATACAAAAGAAACAAAGCCAATGTCGGACAGTTTGATGGTTAAATCTTCTATATTCCTTGCAATGTATTTTGTTATGCTTTTGCATAACCTTCGTCCTTGACAGCAGCACCCGCTCCTGATCCACAGTTGACGATGTTCCATTTGAGTCGTGATCTGCGACTGGAGCCGACAACTGATGCTCATCACCTTCCAGTGTAGTAGCTGGCATGTCCTCAATAACGAGTCTGCCATTCTTATAATAGCCCCTCTTGTTCTCAGATCTGAGCAAAGTCAGTTTCTCACGCTGTCGCTTATTACGAATAATTGCAAGATACCTAGCAAAAACAATAAAAAACGTGAACATAGCAATAGGTATCTACGGAAGCCTTTTAGGGCCATGTCCAAAAAAAAATCATATCCCTATTAACTGGAAATTCCACTTAGTATCTGGAAATTTCCACTTAGTATCTGGAAAATTTCACTTAGTATCTTGAAAATTCCACTTAGAATCTGGAAAATTCCACTTAGTATCTGGAAATATCCACTTAGTATCTGGAAATTTCCACTTAGTATCTGGAAATTTCCACTTACTAACTGGAAATTTCCACTTAGTATCTGGAAATGTCCACTTAGTATCTGGAAATTTCCACTTAAATGCTTTAAATAGAGTCAACTATTAACCTCAAACTATGGAGAGATGTGTTAACATCATTCGAACATACGTATGCTTAGGTTTGAGCAATAAAGACATTCTATATTTTCTGGCTCATGATCACAAGATTTTGATAAGTGAACGTACACTGAAAAGAAAACTTGCAAAAATGAAGCTCTTATCGGAGAAAAGGAAAATCAAAGCTGGTTGATATCGGTCTCTTCATCTTGTCTGAATGTGAAACCTCTGGTATGCTACATGGCTATCGATGGATGCATCAAAGGTGTAGGGAAAATGGTTTGACTGTTGACAAAGAAACTGTAAGAATATTGCTTGGTATCGTTGATCCTCGGGGTGTGAAACGTTGTAGTAAAAGAAGACTGGAGCGCCGAAAGTACCTTTCATCAGGACCTAACGCTGTGTGGCATATTAATGGGTATGACAAATTGGATGCATTGATGGATTTTCACGTAACATCATATGGTTGCATGCATGGAACACGAAGAACAATCCAAAGCTGGTAGCAAGTTATTTCATTGATGCTGTATCAACATATCAAGGATGCCCAGAGAGACTGCGCTCTGATACGGGGACAGAAAATACATCTGTTGAGCAGATGCAATACTTTCTGAGGAATGATCATGTGGACAGATCCCAAATGTCAGAAAGGTGGTCAAACTCTTCACATTTCCAGAAACCATGTCATCTTGTCAAACAGCTACTTCAAAGTTTCTTATCAAGTTTGTTAAAGAACTAGACTCCGATATGTTGGCAAAGCTACTCAGATTTTGTACCGGTTCTGATCTCCTGCTAATCGATGTTTCTGGGAAGCAGAAATCCATCGCTGTGAGGTTCAACACACTGAAGGGAATAGAACGTCGTCCTGTGGCTCACACCTGTGGTTATGTGCTGGAACTACACAAGCAGTACGACAACTATCTTGAGTTCAGGTCCGAATTCACGTCTGTGCTGAAGAGCGACATCTGGAAAATGGACTTTGTGTAAACTTTACACAAAGTCCATTATCCAGATGTCGCTCTGGATGCATATTCTCGCAGTGGAGTATGAATACTGAAAGACAACACTATCCATGACACAATGGTGCTAAAGACCCACCTCCCTAAGTATTACAGAAACTGGGAGCATGAGAGAACACTGCTAGTTTGAGATAATTATTTCACCCATACCCTTTCCAAAAGTAGTGAGATTGCAAGTTTGACATTGTTTATATTTTTTTTAAAGTCCGTTGTTACAAAGTGCGCCCATCACTTCTGTTTTGTGAGTCTGTTGCGGCTGTGCATTGGGCTTTGTAACGGAGTCGACGGGCCGGTTTTGTTTAGAGTGCGTCTCTGCGTTGGGTTTACTTTCTGGCTTTTTTTGAATTTTCAGGGGCCATAATTTTATTATCAGTGACAGTGACAGCGGTGCAACATGACAATGGTATTACAATGCATACATACACTGTACAGCATTGAAAACGCACCAGCAATAAATCTTGAAATATTACAAAAACAACTTGAGCAATGACCGATTTTGATTAGAACAGACATAGACGGATTATTAAGAAAGACGACAAAGGAAAAAGGAATACCACACAGTAATTACATTTACGTCATCAGTGTAAGGAAGACACATAGGGTTAAAATGAAAAGTCAATATCTGGTATGTCCACCATTGGCAGCAACACATGCAACCTCTTCTCATTGATCGAATAAGTCTGCGAATAGTGTTCTGGGGCTTTCCACTCTTGACGTAGTGTATCTTCAAGTTCTCTCAGGTTCTGTACTTGCAGACGACGTGAGAGGCGTTGACCCAGGTAATCCCATAGATGTTCAATTGGCGATAGATCGGGTGACAGGGCTAGCCATGGAAGCAGAGGCACATTATTGTTCGCTAGGTACTGTGTTGAAACACGTGCTGTGTGCGCTCTTGCATTATCTTACTGGAAGGTGTGCATATCCTGGTGCTGATGAAAAAATGGGATGACGTGATTTGCCAATATGTTATTCCTGTAGTAAAGGGCATTAACTCTTCCACGACAAACATTGAGCTCTGTTCATTGGTTATGACTGATGCCGCCCCACACCATGACACTCCCTCCCCCCATCGATCTGTCTGTACAACGCAGTCATTGTGGTAACGTTCTCCACGTCGACGCCACACTCGCAGTCGACCGTCAGCATTCCGTAAATGAAAACGGGACTCATCAGAGAACAGCACACCATGCCACTGCCGCAATCTCCAAAGACGATGCCTTTTGGCCCAACGCAGACGTTCATTTCGATGTCGATCAGTGAGTATGGGTCCAACATATGGACGTCGAGCACGTAGCCCTGCTGAGCGGAGACGTCGACATACGGTGTCAGCGCTGATCAAACCCCGTCGGCCTTGTACGGTTGCTGCAGTCCTGGTAGCCGGAAGTGTACGATCACGAAGATGCCGACGAACAATATGGCGATCCTGACGTGGTGTAGTTACACGACGTTGACCCGGACGTGGTCGATCTCTGGTGGTTCCTGTCTGCTGGTATCTGCTCATTAGCCTGAGGACTGTTGAATGATGGCATTGAAACCGTTGTGCTACGACTCTACTTGACGTACCAACTTGAAGCATGCCCAAGGCACGTTCACGTTCACGTTCCTCTGCTGTTAATCTTGGCATTTCTTGTGTCAGTACCCTTTACGTCTGCAGCAACAAGTGATGTGGCTTTTAAAAGTCTGTCTTTTTGGCCTTATTCTGCATGCTTCCCGTGAAACAAAACACGTAATCCATGATGTGCACGCAATTTGTTGCGTTTTGGCGATGTCGCTCACAAAAAAATTTAGGAATGTGTTTTGACGAGCTGTTCTCCTTCATGCTTCGTCCAGAACGTCGTTTATTACTCATTCACTTATATATTTCCATATGACTTAAGCCTGGATAAAAATACATCCATTTTCATGGTGGTGCGTTTTCAGTGCTGTTCAGTATACTTTATGACGTCACGTAACAATGGCTTTGACGTCATTATGACAATGGCTGATGGAAGTAGAGCTGCTTAGCCAGGCAGTGTTTTCTGGATGTTTCCTCGTGTAGAATGATATTGGGTGATAAATAAAATCTCACTAAAGTGTCTTTTGATATCAAATATATCACCACGAGTTGATAAAAGTGAAAAAACTCAGAGACTTGATCACACAAGACGAAGAGAGCGACATCAACCAGCTTTGATTTTCCGTTTCTCCGATAGAGCTTCATTTTTGCAAGTTTTCTTTTCAGTGTGCGTTCACTTATCAAAATCTTGTGATCATGAGCCAGAAAATATAGAATGTCTTTATTGCTCAAACCTAAGCATACGTATGTTCGAATGATGTTAACACACCTCTCCATAGTTTGAGGTTAATAGGTATTACAATATAGCTGTTGACTCTATTTAAAGCATTTAAGTGGAAATTTCCAGATACTAAGTGGAAATTTCCAGTTAGTAAGTGGAAATTTCCAGATACTAAGAGGACATTTCCAGATACTAAGTGGAAATTTCCAGTTAATAGGGATATGAATTGGACATGGCTAAAAGGCTTCCGTAGGTATCCTATATTTCCAATCAAACTTTGTTTATAAGAATATTTTACATTAAGGGGCGATATGTACGATATTAACCCTTAATGTAAAAAAAATATGTGTTACATTAAGGGTTGTGGGTTGTTACTCTTAATGTAATTTTTTTTACATTAAGAGTTAACACATAACCCTTAATGTAAAATTTTTTACATAAAGGGTTATAACAAGGGTGTCAACTTCAGAAGTTGACAAATCCGTTCATCACATTCACGACACTGGTGCTTGTGCATACGGCAATACACGATGGTCACGTGTTTCGAAGGTGTACAGCTTTATATGAAATAAACGCCCAAATTTTGTTTATATCAGGAAACATCCTGTCACAGCTTGCATACTGTGCTTCAACGGTGAAAAAGTCCGGTCTTTGGTCCTGTGATACGCACATGAACAGAGGCAATTGGGTAATGAGTTGTGTCTGCAATATTTCAACAGAAATTATATTTTCAGTTTAAATTTCAACCATGCACCTTGAAGGAATTTATTTTTCAAACCTGTATACAGATGTCATTATGTTCGCGGGCCTACCGGGATATACTTGTAGCACGCTATATCAGGCGACTCACATTGAGCGGCACGATTATAACACAGGACGGGAATGTATTCGGGGCAAACCCGGACACAATCTCCCCCCAGGACATTTAAACACAACACAGCATCTCCAACGCAGTGACTCAGAGCGCTATTTACGAATAATAGCCCTGTTGGCGTGTCGCTCAGCTTCGGGTCCTAAAGTGCGCACGGCGTAATTTTGTTCGGAAACACTGTTGAAGGTGTTCCGAGTATGGTTTAAACAGCTGATAAACACTAGGCATATCTCCTCATATGGCCGTGGATCTACTCCGTAGGCCTAGTACTCAGATAGAACTTTACACGTCGAGAGGAAAATGACGGTGGAAACAGGCAGGGATGGTGATCCTAAAAGTGAAGAGACTACCTTAGGATCTTCGCCCTCCAGAAACAATGTGCGTACTATATATACACTAGTATCTATGTATTTAAGAAATAAACGACGAGTGGGAGCTGTTTATCGCACAATAAAACGCTGCAGAGAGAATAAACCACTCGGGGCTGCACCCCTCACGGTTTAACTCCCTGCAGTGTTTTATTGTACGATACACAACGACCACGAGTTGTCTATTTCTTATATGAGATATCAACATGATGTACAGCCTCTTTAGGATGATGGTAAAATGTACAAGCTGTATAAATATTTACCGGTACTTGAATAATGATGACTCCCTCAATAGAATCCAACCTCGGCAATGTCGGACAAGTCCATTTTATGCACAGGTGGGTATTTCCCCATATTCTCACAATCCTTACGTCGATTACCTGTACCATTTCTCCCAGTACCGATTGTCATATCACTCCTGGTTTTGGATGCGATCGTTCGGCAATCGCGTATATATATGCGTTGCCCAGTTACATCTATCAGGAACAACTCACTAGACACTCCCCTATAAAAAATAACGTCATCAAGTTGCGAGCGCATGTTCGAATCTCCAGAAATTAGGCCTATGTCATGACAGAACAAAACGCGTGGTTCCAATTAAAATGAGGTATCTATTCTACAGTGGGACTAGGCCTACATCAATTTTCAAAACACAGTAGGTTTATCTCCTCATAGTAAAGTCTTTTAATCTCATCAACGAAGCAGTCAGTGTTAATGCCCTAAACATCATGCCGTCGCAAAAAATATCCACTATCAAACTGTACCGTATTTCCTCTATTCGACGTTAGGCGGTCTATTAATTCCTCGAGAGCCGTTGACTCGGAATGTATTAGAGGAAATATAGATGCGTTTTACAGTTCCTGGGTGATCGATCGGCAGCCATTTTTTTATGAATCGATATGTAGGTTATCGATGTATTCATGCGCACGACTTTTTGTGTGTTTGGCGAGTTATTTGTCCTGGACGTATGGATTATGAACGAACAACATTTACACCAAATACATTACCCATCAAAACATTATATGCTGCCCTTAAACTAACTGACCCGTGAAGATCCGGGGTAGATTAGGTCTTCAACGACCCACGCTTGCCGTAACAGGATAGGGGGTCAGGCTCGCGGACTTGGCAACTTCATGTACTTGTGAATTCAGATTCTTACGTCGGGGGCCGCTTTCAGCTGGGGCCATATCGGCTCATTCCAACACTCAGTTTCTTGTAGATTAGGAACGGGACGAGTGGTTTCAAACGACATCGGGATCGATCTAAGTTTGCTGAGAACTACAGCTACAAAGCCAGATATTTTTTTCAATTAAAACTATGAGCCTGAATATTTATTCACCTGGCAACGGTGATGTTTTTAAAAGATTGAAGCAAGATTATTTTTTCAAGAATTTCTGAGACAATTAAATCCAAGCGCCTTCCCCAACCCGATTATTGATAAGAAAAAATTGAATAATAATATATTGATTTTGAGTGGCACTACATAGCACATTTGATAACATTGCAGCACAATTGAAGCGCCCTGTAAATCATTATGTAAACCCGCCAAACAGAGCCGTCTCCCATTACCTGGGACAGACTCGAATACAATGACGACAATCCAACCAAACAGATGCTGTTCAACAACCAGGCAGGTAGTTCATAATATTTTGATTTTTGTGCCGCAAGATATAATAAATACTCGTACTTCACCCAAAGCATATACTTGAAATGGTGCCAGGTCATGTGAATCTAGTAACCCACGACCAGAGGGTTTTGGACATAATTTTTTTAGCCTAATACCCTAACTTCTATCTGAGTGAAGAATCATCTGACACCACCCTGTCATGCATCTCAAATACAGTTACAGTTTGACGCTAAGTTTATAGTTAATTGAATTGAGTAAAGGCAATATCATGGAGGGGGACACCAGAAATGGGCTTCACACATTGTTCCCATGTAGGGAATCGAACCCGGGTCTTCGGCGTGACGAGCGATCGCTTTAACCACCAGGCTACCCCTGCGCCCCACTGTATTTGTAAGGTTCTTGGGGGAGATGCAGAGCTATAGATAATCGGCGTATTTTCATAACACATACAACTACAACGCTAATGGTCTGAATATATTTGTTTTTAATAAGTGCTAAGCCTCGCGTATTTTTAATTACACATGTATATCGCTGACTAACAGGATCGGGTGGTCAGACTCGCTGACTTGGTTGATGCATGTCATCGTATCCCAATTGCTCAGATCGATGCTCATGATGTCAATCACTGTATTGTCTTGTCGAGACTCGAGTATGTACAGGCCACCGTCATATAGCTGGAATATAAGTGCCGAGTTTAACAAAAAAACAAAAAAATATATTTATGCAACATGTTAAACGATATATCAACATTTTAGACTGTTCACTACATATCAGGTGAGCTACAGTGTTAGGGCACTATTTCTGCAAGTTTGTTAATTTTGTGCGTGCTGCGCTTGTCATGAATTACTTACCACCTGAAATGGGTAGGAAACTTTATTGACAATGTTATCAAATATGTCATGTATTGAATATGTACAAGCTATTTATCCGTACTACGCTCCACAAAACACTTTCCATTCGTGTCGATACAATCAATACATCGGGGCGGTCGGGTAGCCTGGTGGTTAAAGCGTTCGCTCGTCACGCCGAAAACCCGGGTTCGATTCCCGACATGGGTACAATGTGTGAAGCCCATTTCTGGTGTCCCCTGCCGTGATATTGCTGGAATATTGCTAAAAGCGGCGTAAAACCATTCTCACTCACTCACAATCAATACATCACAATGCAGCCATGTGGCACAAGGCACTGTAATTTGCGGTGCCGAGTTGTGTCCCTTGGGCCAGAAACATGATCATGGATTCGTTCTTGATTCGCCCCGATTATGTTTCTAGGTTTGTCAGCACCATGTCCGTGCTCGTTGGTTTCACCGAAGTGGTAAACGTCTAAGCCTCGCACCACACGGGGCTCTCTCCCAGTTCAAACTGATACACCCTGTTAAAGCGGCATAAACCAAAGTCATATACTCACTCAGTGTATCAGTGGGGATTCCAGATTTGAATTAGCCCCAACAACTTATACTGGTTACAAGAGGCAACTTAATGCTGGTTGACTGCATGTCCTTTTACCCTGATGCTCATAACATCAATCACTGGATTGACTGATCCAGATTATTTCCATCTTCCTGTGATATTGAGTGTTGCTTTAAAAAACATTGGCTGATAATGCATAATTTGTTATAAACTGTTATGAATTGCCTTTCAAGCATCTGACATTCACATGCTAGGGTAATTATGGTAATTGTCATTCCTGTTATGGTGTGATTAGGTATTTGTGAACTGGACGTGGATTGATAAATCATGTACACAATGTGGGAATAATTCTGGCCAACTAATCTTGCACTCAATACGTTTTAATGTTCTTCTTCTTCTGACACATCAATGCACTGGAGTTTTTCTCTACCCTTGTGTACCAAAAGTACAGTAAAGTACAGTTGTATACTGTATATAGATGTATATAGACGATATAGGTTCAAGCTTCACAACAAATATAGAAATTTGTTTAGTCCAAACTTCCCATGTTCATCCGAATATCTTGTGTCAGTAGCGACAAATAAATACAACAATTTACTGCATTTAATGCAAAAGAAAGCTTACGAAAGTTTGCAACTGGTAAACATGCTTGGCACGAAATTAGGTGACGCATCGCCATGTGCTTTTCCGCGTCAACTCGCGAATTTACATTTTTACGATTTTATGACAATATGATATAATTGAAGCAAGAACATTGTGATAATTCTAATTAATAATGCTTACAATTGTCCTGGCCCTAATATCCACACATAACCGCAGTGACCACAAAAACCGCAGCTCTTCTTACCTAAGCCCTCACCGCAGCGAGCACGGAAACCCCACAATCATCCTGGCAGTTTTATAGGAACCGGATCAAATACTAGTAAACCCCCCCCCCCCCCCCCCCCCCGACAAATTTTGTTTTTTACTTTTTTTACAATAGTGAAACACAAGTAAAATACTCGAACGAAATAATCCTTAAACACAGTACCTGATGATGAATTTACCAATCCAGATTACAAGGCAATGGTTGGGAGAGTTTTTTTGCTACCCGTAGAGAGACTAGTTGGTATGGCACGTGCTTTGATGGAGCCGTTGCTGCATTAACATTAACATTAACATGAATATTGTGTTTTCAGTTTTGGCTTGAATTATATGTTATACTTGTTAAAGTCTTCGCTTTTCTTTTCAGCCATCACGCGACAAGGGCAGAAGTAACCCTTGTCTCCGTGGGATTCTGTTCCTGTACAATATCTGTTTTTTGGTAAGTAAAAAAAGTGACAAAACCCTTTCAACATCCAGTAGAAATCTCTGCATACAGCAGAGTCGATAGTACGATTCCGACTGTATCATAAGCATGTGATAATGAATCAGTATCACATAGTGATGACACCGGGTGTTCGCGAAACGGTGAGCGTATCCTGCCCCACCGGTGCCACCTGTCACAAACACATGCAAAGGCAAGTCAATTATTCACCTGAAACAAGTCCTTACTGAGCTGATCAGTGACGACATTATGCTGTAATCAAAACTTTTCATTTCTGCAAGGGTGATTGTATGAAACAGTCATTGCGATGGACTTTAAGCTCACCACATCCACTTTGAAAAAACAGTTTAATTTCTATCAGTATCTTGCTTTGCTATGATAAAAAAATATATGGTACTGAGTGTCTTTGCTTGAATTTACTGACATCATGGAGATGCTCAGACTTACGGAGGTAACTTAGCAATGAGACGACGAGTACAATATCCACGGAATCGGTAACACGAAAATCATAATTAATTATATAATACTACTCAAAGTTTTCCTGAGGATCAAGTTTTGATGATATAAAAAAAATCATCCAACAAATGAAGATTGAAATATCCCAGAACACAATGATTGGGTAACCACTTTAGGAACTCAGTTCTATGATGGATGAAGAGAGCCATACAGTCATGGGCACGGGATGCTTTGAATCCTGTATTTGCATGTATCGTGAAAGAATTGTTGGACTGAGGATTGCAAGAGCTGATTGCACTTATGCCCCCTCAGCGTCCAAGACGTCGTTTGACTACCGAAGAATTAGGCAGATGCATAGGCATGCTTTGAACTGGGTCTACACAACGTCACGTTGCAAACGTCTTTGGTGCCAGCCAAAATGTCACCAGCAGGGCACGAAATCGACACCAGACGCTTTGATCAGCTACCCAGCGACATGCGGATGGTCGACAGCGTTCCACCACACAGCGCGAAGACAGGCTTTCCTGCTTGCGCTTTAATTCGTCAGCATTTGGAAGGGGTTCAGTGGAGCTGAAAGAACCGATTCCCTGGTCTTACAGCGGGGCACGATGGCACGTTTCCCACTCAGAGAAGGAGATCATTGTCCGCATGGGGTGGCTTTCCGGTCACCAGATCTCAACCCTATCGATCACATGTGGAACGAGCTGCAGTTTGCCCTCTCACAACGCCCTGTCCTTCCGACAATTCTACAGAAACTCGAAAATGCTCTTACTGCAGAGTGGAACAATCTTCCCTTGGCAATCATCCAGACACTCTTTGCGAGCATGTGATAGCTTCACTTGGATCACATATGCGCTACTGGGAGTTATTTGTTTGGACAATTGAAATTGTTTTGGTGATTTTTGTGACGTTTAAGTTTTGGACAGATGGGTTATCTGACTGATTATTGGTCATATGTTGTTTGACAGACTTTTGTTTATTAAACATGTCTTCACGCAACATTATCAATCACTTGATTGGCTGAAATTGAGGGTCAAGGTCATTAAACCCGAAGTACATATAACTTCTAGAAACATGTAATTTTCTGTTTTAAAGTTGTCTTGGATTGGGCATATTTTTTATGTCATTAAACCGGAAGTGTCCATTTTTGGATTGTTTGATGCACAGGACTAAAGTGTGCTGCATTTGACCCCGTTAGGTATCAAAATGAATATAGATAGGCATTGGTGAGGATAGCTGTCAACATAGCTGTCATGATTCTGTGGGAGGTTTTGGGGGCATTCTGGAAAAGGTGGGTATGAAGCTACTTTTGTTGTCATTATCTAAAACCGAATATTAGCAATGCAGATATTCATGTCTTAGTCTTCATATGTCAAGAGTGATGGAAGATCATTTAACTATTCCATGGTATTCTGTGCGTGTTGTAAGAGCCGACTAGAGGGTCTACAGCCCATTGGGGCTTCCAGGTTAGAATCAGTCAAACACATCGATTATCTGCTGTATGTCAAATATATTTAAATATGACTTCCAAACTATGACTCACATTAAGTCACACACTCTGAGATGATACTGTGGCATTCCATGAAGATACATATATCGAATAGACAGATATGACCTCTAGAATATGACTCTCATTCACTCACTCTCCCACACGGTGGCATTCTATGAAGATACATATGTCGAATAGACAGATATAACCTCTAGAATATGACTCACATTCACTCACTCTCCCACACTGTGGCATTCCATGAAGATACATATGTCGAATAGTCAGATATGACCTCTAGAATATCACTCTCATTCACTCACTCTCCCACACGGTGGCATTCCATGAAGATACATATATCGAATAGACAGATATGACCTCTAGAATATGACTCACATTCACTCACTCTCCCACACTGTGGCATTCCATGAAGATATATATGTCGAATAGTCAGATATGACCTCTAGAATATGACTCTCATTCACTCACTCTCCCACACGGTGGCATTCCATGAAGATACATATATCGAATAGACCGATATAACCTCTAGAATATCACTCGCATTCACTCACTCTCCCACACTTTGGCATTCCATGAAAATACATATATCGAAAAGTCAGATATGACCTCTAGAATATGACTCTCATTCACTCACTCTCCCACACTGTGGCACTCTCTCTTATATCATACTGAAGATAAATATGTGGAATATAGTCAGATATATGTGACATGAACATGCTGACTCAGACTCATTCATGCTGTGGTATTCCATCAAGATAAATGTAACAAATATGGCATCCAAACTGTGATTCAGACTCACTCACTCACTCTGATATCATACTGTGTCATTCCAAAAATATGTCAAATAGTCAGATATGACATCCAAACTATGACTCTGCTGTCTGATTGTTTCTGTTTCCAGGTACTTGGGTGTGCAGCAATTGTTTGGGGTGTGTTGTCTCTGGTCACTGAGTCGAATGCCATCAACATCAAGGGGGAATTTCGACTGTTTTTGGATGCAAATGAACTGGATTATCAACTTCACCGTGTATCCATATACCTCCTTGTCGTAGTGGGCGTGGTTGTGGTCCCCCTTGCTATCTTAGGGTTCTACGGTTCGATACGAGAAAATAAATGTGTCTTAGCTTATGTAAGTATACAATAATTATCAACTAAAGATTTGAGTATGTTAGTTTGTGTACAATGTATTTCCTTGTAGCAAGATCAGCTTAGTCGTCAATGTGATTTTTAAAATTACAGAATGTGTGATCTTTTTCATATTCTGAAATGAAATGTATATACATAATTTAGTGTCAGACACATCATGATATCACTTAACACGATGTAACATAAGCTGTATGTCACATAAATTGCTATTACAATTTACAACCAAGTACAGCTAAACCCTCTCAGTCCAGAAATTCCACATTCCGGACACTTATTGTCGGAGATATCTACAATTTAATAGGGATATTATCATTATTATTATTTTTGTTTCATCTGGGAATTCCGTAACCCAAACGATTGTAAAATGGCACTCTCTGAATGAACATGGTTTCACATTTATTGGGAATCATTTTGTATCAACTACAAATTAGCTGTGTTTATTGTGACAATATGTATCTCCTTGTGTTTCAGTACGGCTCAATATTAATACTAGTATTAATAATACTGTGCGTGATGGCAGGATTTTCGTTCTCCTACAAGACTTCTCTTTCAGATTCTGTAAGTTTGTTTGTTTGTTCGTTTGTTGTTTAACGCCGCACTCAGCAATATTCCAGCTATATGACGGGGTGTGTAAATAAACTATTCTGGGCCAGGCAATCCAGTGATTGACATCATAAGCATCGATATACGCAATTGGGATACGATGACATGCATCAACCAAGTCAGCGTGCCTGACCACCCGATCCCGTTCGTCGCCTCTTACCACAAGCATGGACTATTGACCTTTTCCACACTTTCGCCATTTTGGATCGAAAACGAGGCTTGGAGAGCAAAGCTCCGTGCAGTCTGAGTCGCATTAGCTCATAGGGAACAGACAGCATGTTGTGCATTTCACTGATGGACATTTCAAACAAGCAAAAAATGGTATCCTCTGTATCTAATACAGAAGATATTTCACATTTAATCATAAGGTCCAACTAAAATATGCCTGTCATAAACTGGAATTAGCATTTTGCTGTCAGGATCCCGGAAGTGAATCGAAAGGTGCATTTCGAGATACGTATTTCAGAAATAGATTGTTTTATCATATCCTCGTCGGCATATAGGTACAATGTGACAATACATTCAATGACAGAAGTTTTGTATCGTATATGAACCGCATAACATGAAACAAGTCAGTGTGCTCAGTCAAGCGTGGCTTGGCGAACTCGAGATCGTCGATCATGTTTATTTCACGTTTCATAGTGGTGTTTGCTGCACAACGCACTATCCAGTTGACTAAAGACACCTTTTCTGCTAAGATTTTCACCTTAACATATTACGATGTAAATGAATTTAGTTCACAAAATAATTCGTGTGTCAAAATAAATATTCAGAAGGGGCGATAACTCTATTCAGTGTGTACAGTGACAGATGGTACTTTACTTGTTCTCCAAACATCACTTACTGAACTGATTATTGCTGATTGAGATTGCGCCGTGCACGACAAAAGTAATAATGTGTGAACTGTTTAAAATAAGTTAAAAGGAAACTAAAAATGTATAAATATAAATAATGCATGAAATTGAAGAAATATAAGAATTGATACAACCACCAACTTCTTGAACACCCTCACCTAATCCTGTATGATGATAGGTAATTGTATATCAAAAGGAAGCTACCAATACATTTATCCTGAATAGTTTGAAAATGTCTTGATCAGATATGAGTACAGATAAAAGAACAAAAGATAAAAAGGAATCAACTTCAATTGGTAATCAAGCCAAGATAAAATATATGTATCGGTACAAATTATGTTGATGGAACAATCTGGATTTCTCATATTTAACAAAGAAAAACAAACCGAACTTTTCATGTCTTTATTTCTCACAATATAAATTTTCAAAACTTAACATGGACCGGGTGTCTTGGTCAGTCAAAAGCACCTAATTAAATTCCAGGAGAAAATAATTTTCTTGCATGTGAACAAATGGTACAATGTGCTTTTTTAGTGTCTGATAAATATTGGCTATGTTGTTTTGTGAGTGAATAAGGCTTTTCACTTCCTCGACCTATTTAAGTAAAATGTGACAGGAAGCACATTTGTTGATTGAATGAATATGGCTTTTCACTTCCTCGTCCTTTGACAGGACGCACATTGTAACCAGTGTGTTACTGTCAGCAGAAAGATCCCCCAGACATCCGTCACCGGATACTAATACTTCCTTGTGTTGACTCGCTGGCCTGAAATGAATAATTCAATAATATTGTAATAATATTTCTACTTCAATAATTTTTTTTATAAACAATGCATAATCACCTTCTTTCACAATATTGCTTATTTAGAAAACAACATTCTTTTGAAATAGAGAAATTTAAGGAAAATTAATCACAGTGTGTCACATTAAATGCTACTTTAGAACAATCTTGAAGGCATCAATTCATCTGAGGGGCGGTCGGGTAGCCTAGTGGTAAAAGCGTTCGCTCACCACGCTGAAGACCCGGGTTCGATTCCCGACATGGGTACAGTGTGTGAAGCCCATTTCTGGTGTCCCCCGCCGTGATATTGCTGGAATATTGCTAAAAGCGGGGTAAAACCAAACTCACTCACTCACTCACTCAATTCATCTGATATGTCTAAAACTCAAACAGTATATTCTGTATAAACAGTAAAAAACAATTTAATGACAGTGTACTACAGCTCTTTATATCAATGTCACACAGAAATTCACTCTTGTTTTAATGAAATACGTTTTGATATTTGTATTACCGGTATGTATTTAATCATGAAATACTTTGTTTAGTCTGACCATGCAGAAAACATACTTTCGCTAGAGTGAAATAAATAAGATTTTTATTAAAATCAGGTGAAATATCACGTTTTGTCACACCTACAGTCAGTCTGCCTCATTGACACTAAGGTTTTCTGAGTAAGGTCATAAAGATCACAAAGAAAATAAAAGACTTGAATTTATTTTGTGAAATGAAATGTTTATCTCTTTTTTTGTGGTTTACTAAAGTTGATATCTTGACTTGAAAATATTAACTTTGTCAGATCACAAGATGAGATAAACTCATGCTATCATCGTTATTTGACAAGGAAAACCAATTTCTTCTATGTATTTATATTTTTTTATATTTCTCGTTTTGATTGAATTTTGAAAATTGGGGGAAATATTGTTTACAAAATTGCAGATCAAACTGTACTTTAATTCAAATATTAACACACCCTTTATGTAATAATTCAGTTGAAATATTACACCTCATGCTATCTAATCTGTCAACATTGACGATAAAAATAACAACAGTTCACAATCACAACAGCACAAGTAGATCTAGATGTCTAATATTTTATTGGAATGCATTTGAGCCCATTACAATTTACATCAAATACGCAACTGATCAGAGCTCCAGATAAGCTTTTGGTGTTGTGGGTATTTTACCCATGCATTTTAAAATCATTGGGTATCAGTAATTCTATCTGCGTATTCAAATTTCTGTTACCCACTAGTTTTTACACATGTGGGTATTTAAGTTAAATGTTTAAAAACACTATTCATCTAGTCCCTGCAAACTGGTTTCGTGTGGGTTCGAGAGCTTTATAGGACTAAAATATACCACGATACTTCCACAAGAAAGTGTGATGGCAAATGATCATGATGTAACTGTCATCGTGGAGTTTGGCAAAGTTGACGGAATGCCCCTTTATAATTTAAAAATAAGTTGCTGATTTGCTAATCGAATACGCAGGGTTACTTCACAATATTTTGATGATACGCACAAGTTTTATTTTTGTAGCGTATCTGTAATGTTCGTTGCGTATTTGATACGCTTGGATTATATTTTACTGTGTATTTCTGCATTTCTGATGCGTATTTCACGCAGATACGCAGCTTATCTGGAGCTCTGACTGATGCAAAATTCTGATTTGTTACGATTGTAAATTCTCAGTAAATTACAATTTGATACATTATATCAACATATCAATTTAGTATATCTAGATATGGTCAAAAGGTCAATATTTCGACTTCAAATACAACCCGCAAAGTTATTTAAACTCACAATAAATAGTTTGGCTTAATGGTGTGTAAACAATGAATTATTCTTTACAAGATCTCAGTAGCATTTGTATTAAGTCTGTTCAGCTACCATAAACTGCACTGGGAGTTACCATGTGGTCATGGATATTTTAAATTACCACAACAGAACGGCCAGACTCAAATTTATATCGGTAAGGAGACCAGATAACAGTAGAATAGTTTGTCAATGTTAAGAATAAGAATAATGTTCAATACCTACTATAAATGTACCGGGATGGTTAAATTGTCACAGTTTGTCACGATTGCGTGCCTTGTTGACATCTCCAAGTGTTTCATGTGCTATCCAGCCTTCACCTTCTGCTCTCCAAGCCTCGCTTTCAAAACGGTATTAGCGATTTGTGAAAAAGGTCAATATGCATGTAAGTAAGACTTTAAAAACCGATAGAAATGTAACGTCACATTTACTAAAGTTTATCTCCTGTTTAGTATCGGTCATAAAAAAAGTGGAAACATGTTTCAATTATGCAACAGAACGAAATATGATGGATATTTCTGAAACCCTTATCCATGCAATTAGTAAATGGGAAACTGTACATCAGGATGTGGAACAGACGCTGTTCAGGAGTTTTTTCCATTGGCCATGAAGGCATATTCTGTATTCTGAGAAAACAACTCATAAACCGTTCTTAGTTATTTTAACTTAGTAAGTACATCTGAAACCGTACGTCTCTATTGGGTGAGTGAGTGAGTTGCGCATGAAGGCATATTCTGTATTCTGAGAAAACAACTCATAAACCGTTCCAAATAACTTGGTATGTACATCTGAAACCGTACGTCTCTATTGGTCAGCAGTCTAAGTGTTTATGTAGGAGGGAGCATAATGGATTTGATGGTCTGGCTTGGTTTCTTGAGTGTTTGGTTTTCAACGCTACACGCTGAAATATTCATCTTTATGAATGCTGTCTGTAAAGAATCGATTCTTGACCAGACAATCCAGCGATTGACATCTTATCATCCACCTGCGCAATTGGAATACGATGACATGCATCAACCAAGTCGAACGAGCCTGACCACCCGATTCTGCTTGTTACTTCCCACGACAAGCATTGGTTGCTGAAGACCATTTCTAACCCGGGTGGCCCCAGTTGTTAAGGGCACTTGACTCCCATTGGTCGTGCCAGGATCTGCTGCTAGTTCAGCACAAACCAGTGCTTATGAGTTTCAACAAATTTGTAAATGTCTTACCACTTTAAGCTTACACGCTGTGATAAAAGCACTTTAAGCTTACATGCCTTGATAAAACCACTTTAAGTTTACACGCTGTGATAAAACCACTTTAAGCTTACAAGCTGTGATAAAACCACATTAAGTTTACATGCCGTAATAAAACCACTTTAAGCTTACACGCCGTGATAAAACCACTATAAGTTTACATGCCATGATAAAACCACTTTAAGCTGACACGCCATGATAAAACCACTTTAAACTGATCCGCCATGATAAAACCACTTTAAGCTTACACACCGTGATAAAACCACTTTGAGCTTACATGCCGTGATAAAAATACTTTAAGCTTTCCTGCAGTGATAAAACCATTTTAAGCTTACACGCCATGATAAAACAATTTTTAAGTTTACACGCCGTGATAAAACCACTTTGAGCTTACACACCGTGATAAAACCGCTTTAAGCTTACACACAGTGATAAAACCACTTTAAGCTTACCTGCAGTGATAAAACTACATTAAGTTAACATGCCGTGATAAAATGACTTTTAGCCTACACGCCGTGATAAAACCACTTTAAGCTTACACGCCGTGATAAAACCACATTAAGTTTACATGCCGTGATAAAACCACTTTAAGTTTACACGCCGTGATAAAACCACTTTAAGCTTACACGTCGTGATAAAACCACTTTAAAGCTTACACGCCGTGATAAAACTTAAATGCTGTTTGGAGTGGGGGTCGATCCACATCACTTGTTATTTTTACATTTTGAATAAGAGAGTAAGTAATATTGCGGCATGGTGTTACGAAAGCTTTAAAGTGATCACTGAAGCTGTGAATGAAGTATCATCTTACATTGATGTAACTATTGTTCAAATGTTAACTACAACCCATTTCGTTTAGCTTGCCTCACGCATTAAGAGCGTTATGCGTGATTCGTTATCGGAGCTCTATGGAAGGGACACACAGACCATACCGGAGAATAAGCTCATCACAGAGGCGTGGGACTCCATGCAGAGACAGGTAGGGCTCGCACTCTGACAATGTGAGTGAGTGAGTGAGTTGGGTTTAACGCCGCTTTTAACAGTATTCCAGTTATATCGCGGCGTGTCAGCTTAATGTGGGAGGAAAGCCCGAAGTGATGCACGTCTCAGACGTTTACCTATTCGGTGAAACCCACGAGCACGGGTATGGTGCTGACAAACCTAGAAACATAATCGGGGCGAAACGGGATTCGAACCCACGTCCATAGATTTCTGGCGTTCCCAAGGGACGCAACTCTGCACAGCGAATCGCCGTACTCTGACAGAGAAACAACAACCCTTTTGGAAGAGTAAAGTCCTCCGGGAAGAGGGATTTCCAGACTTACAGGGTTTTTCTGACATAACGGTGTTGCATGACATATAACGGTGTTTCCTGACATACAGGTATTTCCTGACGTAACGGTGTTTGCTGACATAACGGGGTTTCACTGCTTTGACATTATCCTGTATGGCCTTATTCTGTCTTCAGCTGGGCTGCTGTGGCATTTCTGGCAACGTCTCTTCAGCAGACTCCTGGCCGTACTATTCCACGAGAACGCTTTGGTACCTGCAACAGTATGAAGAAGGTGACTATTCCTTGTATGTATAAGAGTGCAGACACGGACATACACAGACAGGGATGCACACATACAGGGACACTCAGACACACAGACAGGGACACACACAGACAAGGTGAGGTGAAATGGGGTTTAACGTCGCGTCCAAGATTATTGCACTTATATAGCGACGTGCATGTACGTGTGTGTGTTTTTTTGTTTTGTGTGGCTGCTTGAACTAGTCCGGACTGAGGCCGATTTATAGTGCTAGCTCACTGAGATACCATGCCGCAGTTTAACATGAATATGCCACTCAGACACAGTATACTGACTCCGAGCCGGCCAGTCCTTGTTTTAGCCCCTTAATGCCGAGCGCCGGCCAGGGTAACAACAAGTACCATCTTTTAACGTCTTTTGGTAGTACGCGGCCGGGGATCGAACCCCGGACCTTCCGCTCTCCGGGCGGACGCTCTACCACCAGACAAGAGATACACAGGCACATGCACACACATACATATACACACAGAAAGGCATACACAGACAGGACACACAGAGACAAGGACACACATACACATACACAGACAGGGACACACACACAAATACATGGCCACTCAGACAGACAGACAGACACACACACAGGGACCCACATACAGTGACACATACACACATGTGCACACACACTGACATACACAGACAGGGACACACACAGACAGGACACACAGAGACAAGGACACGCATACACATACACAGACAGGGACACACACACAAATACATGGCCACTCAGACAGACAGACAGACAGACACACACACAGGGACCCACATACAGTGACACATACACACATGTGCACACACACGGACATACACAGACAGGGACACACACAGACAGGGACACACACAGACAGGACACACAGACAGACAGACAGGGACACACACATATAGACATATAGTGACTTTGACATACACAGACAGGGACACACACAGACAGGACACACACAGAGACAGGGACATTCACAGACACACACACACACAAAAACAAACCGAGACAAGGACACACATACACATACACAGGCAGGGACACACACACGAATACATGGTCACTCAGACAGACACACACACACACAGGGACCCACATACAGTGACACATACACACACGTGCACACACACGGACATACACAGACAGAGACATACACAGACAGGGACATACACAGACAGGACACACACACACACAGACAGGGACACACACATACAGACATATACTGACTTTGACATACACAGACAGGACACACAAAAACATATACAGACGGGGACACACACAGACAGGACACACACACAGACAGGGACCCACACAGACACACACAGACAGGGACCCACACAGACATACACAGACAGGGACATTCACAGACACACGCAGACAGGACAAACACACAGACAGGGACACACACAGACATACACAGACAGGGACATTCACAGACACTCACACACACACAAACACAAACAGAGACAAGGACACACATACACATACACAGACAGGGACACACACACGAATACATGGCCACTCAGACAGACAGACAGATTGTAATAATGGTAAAACATATCGTCGATCCAGCTCAATAGTCTGCCCTCAAGTTTATATATCGTAATAAAAAAATATTTGTGGACATGATTCACTCACTACAAATCCAGGGTGTTAAACACACGGCACCAGTGCTAGTTCTGATCACTTTGCCTATTGTTATTATAAACTTTTCTGCTCTTTCTGTATGTCTTTATTGAGTTGTTTCTGTCCAATGCAATATCCATGTGTAACCGAATGCGCCGTCATCAGACAAGGCACGATTTCCATCAAAAGGTAACACGGTGCAGAAGGTTCCCGACAGCTGCTGTCATGGAGGAGACTTGGCCGTCTGTACCGGACAAACCTACTTCCCCGGGCCACCTAACCATCTCAATCCACACACGGAAAGGTTTAAGAAGACCAACCCTTATTTATACACCAATGTGAGTACTTGCCGACCCCACATTGGGTGGGAGGGGAGAGGGGGCGGGGGAGATATAGGAACAGAGTTCGTCCGTCCGTCCATCCGCTTCTCAATGTGGACAAATTTTCAGAAACGCTATTCAAGTTAACGAAATGAAATTTAACACACTGATGTTACTGGTCACGATCTCAAATGAGTTCGAAAATTGGTGTCGTACATTCAGTTTTTACTTAAGAATTGACCTTCACTTTGTGTGAGTTCATTGGAGTATGAACCTTCATAGATTGAGGACCAAACTGTATGAACGTCGTGTATTAATTTGTCATTTAATCTTTTTATTTTGATGACATAAAGCAGCCAACGTTTTTTAAGGCTTTATAGTGTTTTTTTAATAGTTTCTTTTCACTGCTATATGGATAAACAAAATTCTAAAGTTCCCCATGGCGAGGGATAGTGATAATGCTGTTTTCTTGTTTATTTTGATTTAGTTTTCCCTTTACATGTTTTATTCCCCTGTGTAGGTTCTGGAAGGAAGTGGAAGTACCACTACACTTAGTTTGCCTCAATGATACCATGGTTTTCAGAGTAAGATTGTTCATGAAAATCATACATAAAAATCATCCGCTGATCATTCGAATGGAGGGGGTTTTTGGGGGATGGGTTGGGGGGTCAGTTGCCGGTGTTCTATATGCAGGGGGAAACCCGTGAAGATCCGGGGTAGAACAGGTCTTCAGCAACCCATGCTAGCCGTAAAAGATGACTATGCTTGTCGTAAGATCGACTAACGGGATCGTGTGTTCAGGCTCGCTGACTTGGTTAATGCATGTCATCGTCTCTCAATTGCGTGGATTGATGCTCATGATGTCAGTCACTGGATTGTCTGATCCAGATTCGATTATTTACCGACCGACGTCATATAGCTGGAATATTGCTGAGTGCGGCGTTAAACAACAAACAAGCTTGATACCGTATTATCTGAAGTAGATATATTATGTGATAAGTTGTTGATGAAAGTTCAGCGACAGTTTTTTTGCCATAATCATATTGCCGTGCATAAAATGATGCACCCGAAACATTATTTTTTCTTACATGTGCACTTATTTGTTTTTTTTCCAGGGCTGTTATGACAAGCTTGTGTCGCATACGTTGAAGACGTACAACACCACTATTGGCATAGTATCTGCAATCATTCTGCTATTCTTAGTAAGTGTAATGTAAATTTGTCTTTCTTTATGTGTTTTGAAATAAGGGCCTTCAAATGCGAAAAAATACCTTTGGAGCCGTGCCCATTTCATGCAAGGCCAACTTGCATGAAGGAGTTGTAGCGATAAGACAAATGTAAGTCTATGCTTAACTTTGCTAAGTCTATGCTTAGCTCTGGACAATAGTAATAATTGGTTGGCTTGTTTTTTGTTTTGCGCCGCACTCATCAATATTCCAGTAATATGACGGCGGTCTGTAAATAATCGAGTTTGGACCAGATAATCCAGTGATTGACATCATCAGCTTCGATCCAAACAATTGGAACCGATGACATGCATCAACCAGGTCAGCGAGCCTGACCAGTACTGAGATTGTGTTGTGCACGTGGTCGATGTAGTTTGTCTTCGACAAAACCTGTGACTGATATATGGTCTGTCTTTTTGTCTGTGCCCAAAGCCACAGTGGAGACAAATTAGAACAACCTTACCAAACCAGACTATTTTGATTAATATAGTTTCCCTTTTTTTCAGGTTTTTGGCATCATAACAGCCTTCTGTCTCCGTGCAAGGGTTGGTGGTACGTCATCACCAGGTGTTGTGATGTGTACAGACGTTTCTGGATAAGAGTGAGTTAGTGAGTATATATCCCAGCAAGATCACAGCGGGGGACACCAGAAATGGGCTTCATACATTGTACGCATGTGGGGAATCGAACCCGGCTTTGCCGTGACGAGCGAACGCTTAAGCCACTGGGCTACCCCACCGTTCTGGACGGGACTTTGTTTAAGTTGTGAGTTAACGTGACAGACGCTCACCATAAGTATAGTGAAATTAATGGCGACAGTTTACACTTCGTTTTGAAATGATAAAAGCAACGGTCCAATCTGTCGAGACCGCCTCCGTGGTCTTGTGGTAGAGCGTCCGCCCGGAGAGCGGAAGGTCCAGGGTTCGATCCCGGGCCGCGTCATACAAAAAGACGTTAAAAGATTGTACTTGTTGTTACCCTGTCTGGCGCTCGGCATTAAGGTGCTAAAACAAGGACTGGTCGGCTCGGAGTCAGTATACTGTGTCTGAGTTGGGTATTCATGTTAAACTGCGGCATGGTATCTCAGTGAGCTAGCACTATAAATCGGCATCAGTCCGGACTAGTACAAGCAGCCACACACACACACATACACGTGCATGCACGTCGCTATATAAGTGCAATAATCTTGGACGCGACGCTAAACCCAATTTCACCTCACCTCACCTCCAATCTGTCGCTTCAAGCTCGACTCACTGTGCTCTGCGACAACGTATGAGACGGAGCCAAGTTAAAACGTTTCCCTGTCGCACATTGCTGCAACAATGGTCGTTTACGACTGGCTTTGCAATGATTGTTTGTTTAAAATAGCAAGAACAGCAACATTTGTTCAGTCTGCAACTAAAACACGAATTGACATAATGGAAGGATATGGGGAAAACGTCATGACAAACTGCATACTGCCCAGGTCTTTTCTGGACCAGAAAACGAAGTATGTCCTTTCGGGGTAACATAGCATCCATGAAATAATCAGACACACTTTATTCATCAGCCTTTGTCTTAATTCCCACAACACGTCCTTAACAATTGCAGTATTATAATGTTACAAATATTTTTCACACGATCATGAACTAGCCTGAGTGAAATTCAAATGAGCTGATGACATGGCAAGTGTGTCCTGCGTCCACCGTGGCATGGGATTTTGTATTGAGATCAGATATTTTCACAGAGACAGTTACTGAATGCTATAGCTATGAGCCTGAATTTAAAAAAATGAAAACACTCTGCAACAATATCATTTTGGCCGCAGGCAAATTTTCATGTCTTTCAATTCTTTTTGAAAATAATAGTGAAATGTGGTATACAATGTATGTGTAGCAGTAGGGCGAACACATATGTTCTGTTTTTTACCATAGGTTTTGTATTTTGACGTTGATTTCACTTTTGCAGTTTGACCATGCTCCCCTGAGCCCTCAAAATGCATTTAGTTGTTCTGTTAACATCATCTCCGCAGAAACCACTGGACCCATGAAGATGAAACATCAAATTCCTGTTTCAGCTAATAACGACAACGGAACAGATATTTCTGCCCATTCCTCCGTCATGTTTGTTCCAAATGTCATGTTAATTGGTATTCAATACAAGTGAATTTTTCAAAATGACTCTCATTATGCGTTTTTCTCCTGAACAATTGGCAGATTGAGACAGCTGAACTTTGCCATGGATGTTTTTCCTCTGAAGACATCTTAAAAGTATTTAATTCACATCATAATGGTTCAATACTTATTCAGAAAATATTTCAACGCGGACAGCTTTTGTTACATGGATGTCTATGTTGACATTTTTGTGTGTGTTTTCATGGCAATGTGTTAAAGCACGTTTCTATGAGGTTAGGGTTTGTTTCCAATGATGTATTTCTTTGGGACAATTTGACCATGTTACATTGTGTATCATATGGACATTTTTAACATAGATGTTAAACTTTTTGTCAAAGGTAATGTCTCATTAGCTCAGGTTGCATTGAAGTAAAATTGGCAAGGGTGGTCGTGCTCTGTTCACCGTTTTATTGCGCCCCTCTCACCCTTTCTTCATCACATTGTATTTCAATCACTGGATTGTCTGATTCAGATTTGATTACATGCGACCATGATATAGCAGGAAATGCGACGTTTAACAATAACACACAATACGTCCCTTTATACGGGGCTTGTATTATATTGTAAAATACTGTTAATCATTTTCCCTATTTGAAATTTGTATTTGTGTGATTATCTAACAAGAAGGTGAGATGGCTCAGTTTACTGGAAGACTCTACACAGATTCTTTACACATGCAGATGTTTGTTTAGATTTGACTTGGAGTGAGAAATGGGCTTCACACATTGTACCCATGTCGGGAATCGAACCCGGGTCTTTGGCGTGACGAGCGAACGGTTTAACCACTAGGCTACCCGACCGCCCTGAGATTTGACCTAAGCGATACTTTGTGTAATGTGTGATAATACAAAGACTTGCTGCTGCTGTAGAGCTGGTTGCTTACATGTTTACAGAGATCCGGGGTAGAACAGGTCTTCAGAACAACCAAAGCTTGCCGTAAAAAGGCGACTATGCTTACCGTAAGAGGCTCATGAAATCAATCACTGGATTGTGTTGCTCCAGACTCGATTATTTACAGACCGCCGTCATATAGCTGGAATATTGCTGAGTGCAGCGTAAAACATCAGACCAAACAAACATGTTTACAGTTAACTTATTAGTATTTTCTTCGTTTCGTCATTGCAAGAATAAAGGAAGACGCGTGTTGATGATACCATATAAATGTAAATCTCTTAACCTTTCTAGAGGCTGGGGTGTAGCCTAGTCGTTAATGAGTTCGCTGGTCAACCTGTAGGCACGAGTTCGATTCCACATGTGGCTATGCTGTACAATGTTTTGAGGCCAACTTCTGGTCTCCCCAGTCGTGATGTTTGCTGGAATATTGCCAGAATCTGGTAAAACTAAATTCATTCCATCACTCTAAACTGTTTGATATTATTTTTTATCTTATATGTAGTATCAACAGTATACAACAGCAGCTCTAGCTACTTATCAAACCACGAGCAGTTAGATTTCATAGTCTGAGTTAAGTGTTACATACATCATATCGGTACCAGCCTTTCTTGTCCCATAATTCCATCATCAGCACTTATAAATGTTTTCTATTAGTCGGTGCGTGTCTGACTGCTCGTTCAGCAGTAATTAAATTAACTTTGACCAGGAAATACGTCCTGACCTCCCACTTTGTAAAGTCACCATTAAAAGCATGAGGCAGATATTTTCATCAGAGCCAGTTGTTAATGATACAAAAGCGCGGTTTACGGCGATTAATCAGATGCTCCATCGGTCAGACAATGGAACAGGAATTGATGTCAATACCCTTACCTAAATGGGACTATCACAAATTGCACTTATTGGATATTTTAGAAAGCTTGTGAATTGTCTATTTGTCTATTGTAGATCTGCTAAGGTCAACAGATGCAATATCGAAGGCAAAACTACCCCTATTTCAGAAGGATGGTCAGCTTCTCAAACGTATATACACAGAACAGCCAAAGAGATTTTATCAATTTAAAACAATCAAGCATACCAATATAAAAATAGAATGTTATCAATGTAAAAAAGAAAATAATATTATTAAAATTAAAAATCACATTAGATATGTGTACCTTACGCGCTCACATGAGCCCCGAAGAGGCCGACATTTCTAAGGCAGAAGGCGATGTCTTGACCACAACAGTGGTCATCAGCATACCTGGAATAAGTAGAGTCGAGTGTATGATTCCCTCCCATTCTGTACCTTTTATGATCGATTTTAGCATGTAAGATTTATGCATAGTCTAGGTCTTCGTCCAGTTGTACAAGGTGATCGTCGAACCATAACAAGTACTATTACTAGCTCGTGCATTTATACTCATAGTTAGAAAAGGTTATGCATTAGTATTTTACAGTTTACAAATGCATGTGCTTTTATGTAATATTTATCTCATGTGACTGAGTGCATTTGTACCATCATATGACTCAATATTGTTATCTTTATTCATATATGTTATAGTTATAATCTATACCAAACCTGTCCAAGTAAGACACTACATTCCTTGGAGAATGACCTCTTCTTATCATAGATTGTCTTACGTAATCTCACCAGAGAGTAAATCTTTTGTACATTATGTTGTTTGTATTAGAATATAACTACCGTTATGTTTATGTTCATGGTTTACATTCATTATTTTTGATGTAGTGTAAATTGTTTACGTTTTTAATGATTGTTGATGATCGATTGGTGAATACACTTGCTTGAATAAACCCAAGAAACCTACATCTCTCTCTTTTTCTAACACCCTCTAGAGAGAGCTTGCAGTAGTGGATGTAATTCAAGGCTGCGCTAATTGGTTGCGTCTGCATCCAGCCCTGAGGAGTTTAATTGGAGCTTGTGGTGATATCATGTCCCAAACTCATCACTTGCAGCACCAACTCTGCAGTATAGTGTGACACACAACACTCACAACTCCTACACCCACAGAAATACTTGATTTTGTTACCCTCAGCATATCAGTATGTGAGTCTTCCCAAGCATCCCCTACTCGTGGTGGGTGCATTCTCCTGAGTTCATAGGTCCCCACCACAGCCTCTCATTTAGAGACTTCTACCTGGAGCGGGCAGCAAAGGTTGGGTAAAAGGGCCTGCCTTTCAAAAAGTTTTCAAAGATCCTTTTCTTTGACAGTGGCCTTATGCACATGGGACACATTAAGATCCGGGGTAGAATATGTCTTCAGCAACCCCCGTTAGTCGCCTCTTACGACAAGCATTGTCACCTTGTACGGCAAGCATGGGTTCCTGAAGGCCTATTCTACCCCGGATCTTCACGGGTCATCGTATAACAATTGCGTGGATCTATGCTCTATGTCAATCTCTTGATTGTCTGGTCCATTATTATTTATAGACCGCCGTCATATAGCTGAAGTATTGATGAGTGCGGCGTAAAACAACATACACACAAACCCATTATGCTCCCCTGCTTACTGATCTGTTTCATTGTGTAAATGTACCGTAATTTCTGCTCTGATTGGCAAAGTCAACACAAGATTATTCGTCCAAGAACTTTACTCAAGCTTCAAATATGTCGATGATGTGATATCGTTCCATAACCAACAAATTACAATTCCCTTCCACTGATTAAGACACCTGAACAGAGGTGAGGTGAAGTGAAATGGGGTTTAACGTCGCGTCCAAGATTATTGCACTTATATAGCGACGTGCATGCACGTGTGTGTGTGTGTGGCTGCTTGTACTTGTTCGGACTGATGCCGATTTATAGTGCTAGCTCACTGAGATACCATGCCGCAGTTTAACATGAATACTCCACTCAGACACACTATACTGACTCCGAGCCGACCAGTCCTTTTTTTAGCCCTTAATGCCGAGCGTCAGACAGGGTAACAACAAGTACCATCTTTTAACGTATTTTGGTATTACGCGGCCGGGGATCGAACCCCGGACCTTCCGCTCTCCGGGCGGACGCTCTACCACTAGACCACGGAGGCGGCCCCTGAACAGAGAAGACCAGTGAGACCGCCTTTTCTGTTTCACACTTAGATCGATGTTTACAGCTGTTTTCTTATTCAGCCAACAAGACTAAACATAACGGTTTCAGTGGACAAGTTTCATTTACTGTCATTATATAATTTTTTCACACATCTCAACAGGGGCACGGATGACGCAGTCGTCTAAGGCCCCGCGATTCGCTGTGCAGTTCCGTCCCTTGGGCACGACATACACCTATTATTGTGGGTTCGAATCCCGGTTCGCCCCGATTGTTTCTAGGTTTGTCAGCACCATACCCGTGCCCTTTGGGTTTAAAGTGGTAAACGTCTGAGACCTGCATCGCTTCGGGCTTTCCTCCGACATTAAGCTGAGACGACGTGATATACCTGGAATACTATTAAAAGCGGCGTTAAACTCACTCACTCACATCTCAACATGCCTCTATATTGCCAAAAAGCTTCGGGATATATTTTTTCATGTCCATATTTGGCTTGTTTGATCAAAATTCCCCAAATTTGAAAGTTGAACTTAAGGTCCTTTAACATTAACGTATAGATTTTGACATTGCAGATATAGCTCGTCAAAAACATGTCAACTTTAGAGCTGGCAGCAATCCTTATCATAGCTTTGAACAATTTAAACCCTTTTTCTATTATGTCAACTCCTTTATTCGAGAAAAATGTATTGATATCTTTTTTATAGTTTCGAATAGATTGTGTTGGATTTGATAGCATAGTACATATCTGATTCAGTTTGGGCAGAAACATTTCGTTTGGACTTTCCGCAAGTACACTGAATTTCATTGATTTTATGGCACTATAGCATTCCATGAATGCGTGTGATGAATGTATTGCCCTTAAGCTTAAAAGGTACCTGACACCAGTCCAAATTAATGTTTCTGCATAGTTTCATTTCACACTTATTCGCTCTAATTTTGTTTCTAGACTGACGTCACATCTCCAATGAAATTTGAAATATACACAAATCTATAGGAAAGGAAGTTGCTCAATAACTTACTGTGTTACTACAGCTAGTGTTAGTCATATTACTTCTTATACTAATAATATAACCATCAGTAAGTATATATAAATTGTGAATACAGACTAACTTTGTCGACTTGGACTGATTCAGAAGCCTTGGGCTGATGCAGCAGTCTTTGACTGGTACAGAAGTCTTTGACTGATGCAGACGCCTTAGACTGATACAGAAGTATGGGACTGATACAGAAGTCTGGGGATGATATAGATGTTTTCGGCTGATATAGAAGTCTGGGACTGATACAAAAGCCTTGGGCTGATACAGACGTCTGGAACTGATACAGAAGCCTTGGGCTGATACGGAAGTCTGGGATTGATACAGAAGCCTTGGGCTGATACAGAAGTTCTGGACTGATACAGAAGCCTTGGGCTGATACAGACGTCTGGAACTTATACAGAAGCCTTGGGCTGATACGGAAGTCTGGGACTGATACAGAAGCCTTGGGCTGATACAGACGTCTGGAACTGATACAGAAGCTTTGGGCTGATACAGAAGTCCGGGGCTGATACAGAAGTCTGGGACTGATACAGAAGTATTGGGCTGATATTAGGGTCTAGGAATGGTATGGGAGTCTCAGGTTGATATTGTAAAAAGTGACAAAATATTACCCATAAATATCACTTCATTGTTACATGAAAGTAACGCTGGTAAATACACGTGTTCTTTTCATCAGAAACACTTGTGTTCAAGCTACTACATTAATATTATTTCTGAATACAGCATGTATGTTTTGCATCGACTGTAATCGTACGCATCTTCCTTGTTAGATGGATGACAACACGAGAACCGATTTCAAAACAAAACTCAACACAGTGATGATCTCCTGTCTTAATTATGTACGTAGCTTCCTGATCCAACACACTCTTGTACAGAATTAGACCGTGGACGTCAGATAATGATTCACCCTTTCTTCCTGGTCGGCCCAGCGTGCGACACTGAAACTGTAGCATACCGGACACTTGGTGTTATCGCTTATGCAAATATACTTAGGCAGTAATAAGAACTCGCAGCAAACCTATATTATTTCTGACAAAATGATAATGACATGATACATTTAGTTTTAACATTTTGATAGCGTAGCTGACACCGTGTAGAAATGCCAGCAGTAGTTATAACATCGACCGTGTATAGTTATGTACACAATAGACAGGCAATGCGCTTGTAATAATCACATCATGAGTGACATTGCGATACATCCAGCACATCAAGGCATATCACGGCTCCCTGTAAATATTTAAATCCGGTTCAAGCATAAACTATCAGCGATGGGCCCGATATCACACTGTCACTCAGCCGACACATTTTAACCAGTCTATCCTCATCTTTCCTCGAAATATGACATTCTCGGAATACTGGCGATCAATTCAATTCACGAATTGCACCAAACATATCTTAATGCATGAAGTGGCCGTTCTTCTGGATATTGCTCGGAACGGTTGTTTACCGTTACTGTTTTTGAACTTAGAAAGAACCAGAAAAATTGAATTTCTTACAGCTTTGTTTTCAAAGCCATTTCAGCCCCCTGTTGCAATACGTGTACCACAACTCGAATTGTCAGGCTTCTTTGCATTTTTGAACATCGGACATTTAATCATAAACTTGCACCTTCACATCTGTCCACCTGCCCACGTACATATTCCATGCTGCCCGTGTTTCAGTAACATGTCTTGTATAACCGTATGAATTATTTATTTTGTCTTAATATCAACAGTGAAGGATTTAAGGATTGAGTGACTGGGTTGGGTTTAACACCGCTTTTAACAGTATTCCAATTATAAGCGTGTCAGCTTAATGTGTGAGGAAAGCCCGAAGTGATGCAGGTCTCCTACGTTTACCACTTCGGTAAAACCCACGAGCACCGGTATGGTGTTGACAAACCTAGAAACATAATCTGGGCGAACCGGGATTCGAACCCACAATCATAGGTTTCTGGTGTGCCCAAGGGACGCAACCCTGCACAGCGAATCGGGCCGCCTCGGACGAGTGGGCCACCCGTGCCCCATAGATTTGAGGATTGTTTTCTGTGAGCGAAAGGTTGAGTTATATAAAATGTTAAAATACACTTTCCTATCTAATATCATTAACATGTAATTACTTCATCTTGACACATGAAGGCTGGCTGTGGCAAAACTTGAATCAAGACTGAAGAGTAAATATCTTGTGCCTCCCTTACCGTAGCTGAATGACACGAAGTGGGGATCCATTTCTTTTAAATCGCATGTGTGGCATCACCCTATTGTTGACACAACCCATTATTTTCCTATAAAGGACAGTTCGTTGTCAATTATCTATGCCCTGGTCATCTTGAAACCACATGTCATTTAATGCTTTGACTTCAATCTTAGAGAAAATTATATCTACATCGACGCGAACCCGCATCGTATGATGGAGGCCGTGCACTCGGCGACAGCGATATGTACACTGTGTGAAATAACTAAATTAAATAATTGTTATAAATATTTTATAATATTATGAGGCTAAAAAAGTAATATGTATTGTGTGGTTGTAAAACAATGTTAACTTAAACAATATTCATGTCAAAGTAATGCGATAACCCTTTATGAGAAATGTGAAACAACAACAACCTGAAACACATGTATCCTTGTCCCGGGCTCTACATGTCATGTTCTCAAAACGTGCTAGCGATTTATAAAATACTTGCTAAGGGCCCCACGAAATTGTAAACCATGTACTGAACAACTTGTGACAGAGAACGTGCGTCAGCAGCATTTGATACATTACACACGTATCACACAAGAGCGACTCACAAAGTATGAATACAAACCACAATCAGTTGTCATTTATGTTTTGTCAAAGAATAAACATGTCTAAAATTAGAGCTAATTGTCGTAACTGTCGGCTCGTGAGCAGAATCCTCGTGTGTTCTCCTTCACCGTAACGGTGGATAAACCTTCTGTTCAGTATATAGTGACTGACATTTTCATATTTCCGTACTTCCTCTTAACCCCTTTTCATTTTTAGTTTATTCACAAATTGTTCATCATTATTGTTTTTTCCAAACGTGTTTAAAACAAATACGTGAATGTAATTATCACAATGTACATAATAGTCTGGACTAGCCAACCAGTGGTTGACATCATGAGCAACAGTCAGTCACACCTCACGTTGTAAACATTGGATGCCCATTTACTGATTTTATATAAACTACGAGAACCCCTTGGACCTATTCTGCAAAGAAATCGATTAAATAATAACCAACTAGCAACAGGTTGACACCCTGGCATACTACGGGAGACAATGTGACAACATCAAAGTAGAAGGAACATGCATCGTTGTACTCATGCGAGGCTGACACATGACTTCACCTGGTTATGGGGAAGTGCACTCGATGAAGCCTTTTTCCTGGGGAATGTATGCATGTTTGACGTGTTACGAGCCATACATTAAATTACATGTAAATATGTGTGTTGCCATGCCTGATCTACTTCTTTCATACAGACAAACCCAAACAGCAACTATCTTTTTTAAAACGCTATTTTTGTTCATTTTACTAAGCATATCGTTTCGGTTATTTGGGCACATCAAATGTCAATAGATAGTTTGTGTGTCATGTGAAACGTTTGGTGTCATAAATATCAGTCACATTTGTCCAACAGAATTCACTTCTTGGTGGTTCACAATGAACAGATCTAAATAGAAACGTAATATTCTTCCTGGTTTGTGCGCCAGTGTCACAATGGCGCTGTGGGCTAGGGTTGTGTTTTTGGTGACCAGTCTGAGTCTCGCAGCAGGTAAGTGCATTCTTTACCTACACGAGATTGATCACAAGATATTTGAGTATCATTGTTCATTAATGAGTTCTACTTTTACACATTCGTTGAGACACGTGTACCGAATGGTATATCGGACAACATTGTCATTGTTGAACTAAAGACGTTAAAATATGGTACTTGTTGCTACCCTGTCTGGCGCTCGGCATTAAGCGGCTAAAGCAAAGACTGGTCGGTTAGGTGTCAGTGTAGTGTGTCTGAGTGGGGTATTCAAGTTAAACCGCGGCATGGTATCTAAGTGGGATAGCACTATAAGTACAATTATCTGGCACGCGAGGCTAAACCCTATTACCCCTCACCTATATAACAGACAAGCTTGTACGTTCATTGTATCACTAACGCGACCACTGTGGCCTGACGGGGGCACGGTAGCCGAGATACACCCACATTTAGACCCTGTCATCACTAGTTGAACACACATCTAGCCTTTAATGTTTGCTCGCGTCGATAGTGGGAAAGGTTGACTCGCCGCGTCTCGCCACCCTACATTACTTCCTGATTGACTGTCACGGTTAAATCAACAGGCTTGTTATTGTATGGATACCATCATCATCATCATCATCTTTTATTCCAATAAGACCGCTCACAGCGGTACATGGTGTACAGTTACAATATGTAGCAAATATATTACAGAGGCTGTTGATATATGTTTACAGCATTAAATATACAATGGATGAATTTACTCAATTTTCTTACAGTATAAATCTTTGGGCAAGTCATTAAATGTTGAAGCTTGTAATAGTTTGGATAAAAATAGTAATATTCTTGGAGATATTGCTCTCGTTCATATTAAAATATCGACATTTGAGCAGGTAGTTGTATTCATCTCCCACAGAGGAATTGCATAAATGACACAGTCGTCTTCCAAATGGTATATTGTTCCACCTTCCTGTTTCTACAGGTAGAAAATGATTGGTTGTTCGAAATTTTAGCAAGGGAATGGAGATATTTACACTCTAAGATAAATATTGTTCTAGACTTAAGTTGGGTTTTATACAACTATAAAATAAACCTTTTGATGATGCCGTTTGGGCACTGTGCCAGTTTTGAAGAAAATTGTCCTTTAATCTGTGTTCCACTAGATTTAATAATAACTCTTTACTGTTTACTGTCTGATTGTGCCAAACATAACTTAAACCACAGCGATCCAGAATGTTTTTGACATATAACAACCAAGGTGAATGAAAAATGTTATTACAGTGTTTTTGATATAAAGTCTTATACATGACAACAGAGAGCTTATTTACATTTTGTGGCAATATCAGGTTGCACCAAAAGGCCAATACTCGTTTTTTAACAATAATATCGAGTGGTAGGCGACCTGTCTCGCCATATAGCATATAAGTGGGTGTGCTCTTACGTAATCTTAAACTTAATTTTAAAAATAACTTGTGGACATTTTCAATGATAGAAAAGTCTGTAAAACCCCAGACTTCACAACAGTATAGAAGAATTGGGACAACCATGTTTTCGAACGCATTAAATAAACAATCTAATGGTAGATTTAAGTTTCTAGCTTTGGATAACAAATAATACATAGCTTTAAGTCCTTGTTCCTTAAGAGATATTATGGCTTGGTTAAATTTTCGGTTCATGTGAAACTTTATACCTACATGTAGATAAGTGTAACAATCACAATTATCTCGTTCAACATTATGAATTTTAAAAACATACTTTTTCTTACGCAGAATAATTGCAGTGCCAAAGATAATAACCTTTGTTTTTCGCATATTTATCTTGAGTTTCCATTCAGTGCAGTATTTCTCGAAATTATCTAAACAGTGCTGTAGACCTTGAGGGGATTCAGCAAATAGCACCGTATCATCAGCGTTTAAAAGAAGGAAAAGTTTAAGTGTACCAATGTTGATACCATCACAATTATTAGATTGCAAATAGGTTTCTATGTCGTTAAAAAAATAGCAAATTACAAAGGCGACAGATTTTCTCCTTGACGGACACCATTATCACAGTTGAAAAAAACAGATATTTGACCGTTTAGACAAATACATGACTTAATATCATTGTACATATTCCTTATAAGAGTAAATAATTTTCCTGAAATAGCATAGCTTACAAGTTTAAGCCACAGTCCGTTCCTCCACACATTATCAAAGGTTTTTTGGAAATCGACAAAATCACAAAATATTTTTTTACCTGAATATGTCAATAGTTCAGTGACACTGTTCAAAACGTAGACATTATCAACAGTAGAGTATCCTTTACGGAATCCGGCTTGAGCTTCAGATAGTATTTCATTACTTTCAACATAACGTGTTAAACGCAGATTAATAACACTTGTAAACAATTTCCCTAGACAGGATAAAATGGTTATTGGTCTATAGTTTTCTGGTTTGGAAACATCCCCCGTTTTCTTATAAATTGGTTTGATCATTCCCATTAACCAGGGTTCAGGCAAATGCCCTGTCTGTAAAATTAGATTAAACAGTTCGCAATACAGTTTTAAAAGAATAGATTTGGTTGAAATAATATATTCATTTTCAATCATGTCTATACCTGATGCTTTCTTATTTTTAAGTTTATTAATTGCTTCTTCTATTTCTTTAGTGTCAAAGCATTTGTTGAGATCATTATCAATGTCGTTTGGCTGTGTTACAAAACAGTCACTTTCAGCTGTAGCACTATTAATGTCTTTAAAGTAATTATAAAGTTCATCAAATGAGACATTCTTGGAGCTAGGGCCAGGATTATCTTTAAAATATTTCCAAAAACCTTTCACATCGTGATGGGCCATATAAGAAAACTTGCCTTTCATAAAATGCACATGATTTAAATACTTTTCCTTTAAGATTCTTTTGTAGTCTTTATTAACTTGTTGTAACACAACCTTATCTAGAGAGTTTTTTGAAACTTTAAATTTTCTTTTTTCCCCCTGTATATTCTTTTCATATTACGACAGTCTTGGTCATACCATTTATGAAAGTTATTTTTAGGCTTGAACTTATGAGCTGTTTTTTTTAGTACCGAACACATCACCAGCTGTATTCACAAACAATGTGGTTAGCTCTGATACAACATTATCGATAACACCCACGTGCTTTTTCTGTCATGCTGTTGATGCGCGCGAGGTCAACACCTGTCACGAACTGTTGTCGTTTGTCCATATCGAATCGTCGTGGCTTTCCCTCGTTAGAAGGTGTGTCAGGTAGCTCTTGCCAGGTGTCAGCTGCCTGTACCTCAGGTAGTAAAGTCAGCTGGAGGGGACAATGAGCATCACTATATAAACAGTCGAAGTCCAAGATTTGAAAGTCTTTGGTTAAAGGGACAGCTTCATACGATGACACGACATAATCAATAACACTACAGTCTTTACAGGTGACAGCACCGATGTTTTTTTATCTTTTCCCAATCTTCCGTTTAATATAAGAAGTGGTAAAGTTTTACACATTTCAATGAGTTTACGACCATGTCTATTTGGTTCAGACCTGTCTTGAGAGACTCTTATTGGCGACACGTCGTTTAATTAAAAAATATCATTATTATTAAAGTACTCCATCTCAGAGTCATCTACACCAATGGAATGGCTAACAGTGGTGTTGATGACACAGGTATCTTCAAGAATACTCGTATGGGCATTAAAATCTCCTAAAAGATAGAAATATCTTGTAATGTCTCGTATATTAAGAATATCACTTGACAAATCCTGAAAATGACTGTCGCTTGCGTACCTGGAGTTAACAGGTGGGATATAAACAAATCCAATACAAAGATATATCTGTACTTAGCATTACCTTATTGATATGTATCCATAAGGATATATCATTGTCAGATTGGACAACAGTAACATAAGGTGCTATTTCATTTTGAATGAGAATTCCCAAACCTCCTGACCTTCGACCTGTCGTGTTTCTATTTTGGAGAATAACAGTATAATCTTATAGGGTTTATACTAACATCCAACTCATCTGTTTTGGGTTCTTATAGACCAATAATATCACAGGAATTGAGAAGTTTATGAAACTTTGGTAGTTTAACTTACTACGAAATCCACAAACATTTAGAGATATAACTTTCAATTTTTTGTTATCGGGGTTACTTTGTACACTTACTTCACTGGATATTAATCCATTTCTTTCATCCAAGCTACTGGTATCAAAGATTGTATTAACACTTGTATTATGGTAAACCAAGGGCAAGTTATTATTTCTATTAGATTGGTTTTCTGATTGTTCAGCATTGACAGCAGGCTGTGAGTAGTGTCCGCTGTGAGTGTCCTATGTTCTCGGGTTCGAGGTATCCATTGAAGGGTGTACACTGAGTGGAGAACGGGTGGCCATGATGAACTCTTTCCTGGGTGGGGGTGGTCGGTATGGGGGAGAGGTATCCGGAAAGAACTGTTTGCCATCAATGTAGATTCTGTCCACGACAATACAGCACTTCTTGTTATCTGTTCTGGCTTGTCTCATCAAAGGGTACAGAAACAACTTCCGGTACGCTCTCACGGCATCAGGGAACTGCTCTGTAACTGTGTATGGAGAACCTTTCAACTTTCCATATGCAGCGTATCTCACCTCGTCTCTATCTTTGACTGACCGAAATCGGGCAATGATTGGTCTGGGCTTGGGATTACCTCCCTTGAATCCCCCAGACGGTAAACTTTCTCTATAGGAGCATCAGATATATCATTTTTTTGTTTAATGAAGTCAGTCAAGACAGTGGTTGTATCTTCTTTAGGGGAGCTTGTTCCAGGGATGTTCATGAATAGTAAATTTGCGGCCATTGAACGCACCTGTAGATCACTCCTTCTTTCAATTGCAACTGATGAAACTGCAATGATTCGAAATTCTTAGACTGTAAGTTGTCCTGTACATCTTTTATTTTTTCTTCTAGTTCCGCTTTCTCTTTCCGCCAATCTTCAAACTGCAAATTCATAAAGTTGACACTTTTCTCCAAGTCTGACACTGAAGTTTTCATGGTCTCAATTAATTGCACTTTGTGGTCAA